AAGAAATTCGAGAACTTAAAAAGAAATGGAAAAATGACTATTTTCATTAAAACTTATAATTCTTCCATTTTTTCATATTAAGAACTAAAAATTTAACTTGACACTCTTGAGATATAACACTTTAAGGAAAAAAATAGTTTGATAGTGACCGTTTCAAGAAAGGTATTTATTTGGAAAGTTGAAAAGACGAACTTCAGCCAAAAAAGTACTACTAAAAAAGTACTACTTAAAAAGTACTACTTATTTTTTCAAAGTATACTTGTTTATTAGATGTGAGTAAATTTTACTTGATTAATGTACAAAAATTATTCGCACGATCTTCCTCGAGTATCTGCAGGCGTATGGGCCGAAGCCATAACTGATATACCATCTAATAAAACCGGAATAATATGATACACTCTTGAAAAAAAAATTAAATGCCGTACAACATTATGCACTTACTTTTTTCTACACTCTGATGACAAACACCAATGAGAGAAAAATTCAGAAAAAAATTATTTAAATAATTATATCTGGCACACTGGGGTCTCTGATGGCATCACTCCGTTTCACTCGAATACCAGCTAGACTGACGCTTTTAGAATTACGCTAATCCAAGAGAAAGAGGGAGGAGGGCATACTAAGTGGCGGCGGGACGCCGTGCGTTCGAGATCTGCGTATCTTTTCGTTCCAGAGAGAGAAAAATATCGAGAGCGCGGCTCTGCTAGGCCGGGACTTAAACCCGGGTCTTTAGATTTCTTGCCGGGCGACTGCTCTAAACCACTGAGCTACCTGACGCTCCACGCTCACGACACTCTCCTCTTCCTAGATAACGCTCAGAGATGCCGTTCGGAAGCGACTTTAAGTAATCCAAGAGAAAGAGGGTCCCTTCAACAAACAATAGATGATAGCACAAGCATTTTCGTACTATAGGGGGCAGTAAATTGGAGCTGAATTAAGAGGTTACCCCACTTTGAAACCTTCAAAAAATCGAAATTTTTTTGCTTAAATTGATAGTTTAGTCTTAGAAATCTATATTTTTTATCTAATACTGAAATTTCAAATAATAATGAAGATACAGTCGGTTACGTCGAGCGGAGCACCGCTCAGCGTGAAATCGTAACATCCGCGCCGCCGGCAAATTATTCCGTTTTTGACCTGAACATTTCAGTCATTATTTGATATTGTAGTTATGTATATTTACTGTAGATGGCGTTGGCACGTAATGTAATTCTAGGTTATCTTCGTTTTCTTCGAAAATCAGTGTGTCCATGTGTTTGAAACAGAACGGAGAGAGTTTGTGTTTTTGAGTACGTTTCACAGTAATTTCCCGGACATGAATGAAAAAAAAGTGTATAGTGTTTATTGAAGATTATGGAAGTTATGAATTTGACCATAGGAACGAGATCCTATAATTTTGCAAAATCAGTTGACGAAAAGCGAATCAAAATCGCAGAGCAGAGGTTCTTGGACGCTGCGAAGGAAAATTATTTTGACAGCAAAACGAGAAGGATTCTCTAGATGTAGAAAATTTACTCTATGGCCCCCGTATTGCTGATTAAAGGTAAAACCCCCAAATTATCATCTTATAAATAAAAAAATCTTGAAACTTTAATCGCGCTTTTCTCAACACGATGTTTTCAAAAATGGTGGACACTAGAACTACCACAAAATTTAACCAAATGCTTTCAAGTTTTACTCAGTTATTGTCAATTGTATTATCTAAAGAAATATCTGTGATTTTTGCGATAACTTATATATTTTTTTATAATCTATACATTTATATATAATTTTTACATGAAAATTGAATTTTTTTTTTCACGTATGCATTATTTTCACATTTATCAATATTTTTTCATTCCAACAAGTACTTTTATAGCAAATTTAATGTGGATAAAGAATAATTAATCAAATTTTGATTACTTGCTGTAAAGCCGTTCTGCTGTCCATCGTGGATGCCTTCATTGCGTACAGGGTTCCCAAAGACATGTTGTAGTGCCACCATTTTGTGTGACAGAGAAAAATTTTGTACACATTTTTTACACACCAAAATAAGAGTAATAAATAGATATCAAAATATGTTTTGTATCATGTTTTTTAGTAATCAATTTCCAAAGTAAATGAAATATTTGAGGTCTCCACAGTTGGGTAACCCCTTAAGTTGGGGCTTTTGGTAGCCCAGAGTGTCAGCTCAGAGTTAAAACATTTTTTTATAAATGGAAAATTATATAGCTTAATAAAAATTTAATTTAATTTAATCTTTAATCTAATTATATAAGGTGTAGTAAAAAGAAATCCTTATTTTTCCAATAGATGGCTTTAGTAATGTGTATCTCGCGTTGTATAAGTGCGATCGGTTTACGCTAGATGGCGTTAGAAAGATAGGATTTCGTACTAAAAAAAACTTCTCAGACAGTTTTGTGATTGTTTGACTCAGTATTATTTGAGCGCGCGTCAAAGATGGACACCAGCAAAGAGAAAATACGCCATATTTTACAGTTTTTCTTCGATAAAGGCGAAAACGCAAGCCAGGCGGCTGAAAATGTGAATAGTGTTCATGGACCTGATACTGTAACAGCCAATCACGCGCAATTTCGGTTTCGTCGATTCCGTTCCGGTAATTTTGATGTCAAAGATGCACCACGCTCTGGAAGGCCATTTGTCGAAAATGTCGGTAAAATAATGGAAATCGTCGAGTCCGACCGTAAGCACTGTTTTGATTGCTCAGGAGCTAAACATTGCACAAAAAAACCGTTTGGAACCACTTGAATAAGGCTGGATACAAAAAGAAGCTCGATGTATGGGTGCCACACGAGTTAACGCAAAAAAACCTCATGGACCGAATTTCCATCTGCGAATCGCTGCTGAATCGCAACAAAATCGACCCATTTCTGCAGCGGATGGTGACTGGTGATGAAAAGTGGGTCACTTACGACAACGTCAAGCGAAAACGGTCGTGGTCGAAACGCGGTGAGCCGGCGCAAACGGTGGCCAAGCCAGGATTGACGGTCAGGAAGGCTTTGCTGTGTGTTTGGTGGGATTGGCAGGGAATCATCCACTATGAGCTGCTCCCCTACGGCCAAACTCTTAATTCGGACCTGTACTGTCAATAATTGGACTCTGAAGGAATCAATCGCCTAGAAGCGGCCAGCTTTGGCCAATAGGAGAGGAATTGTGTTCCATCAGGACAACGCCAGGCCACACACATCGATAGTGACTCGCCAGAAGCTCCGGGAGCTTGGTTGGGAGGTTCTTATGCATCCACCTTATAGTCCGGACCTGGCACCAAGTGATTACCACCTGTTCCTGTCTATGGCGAATGATTTTGCTGGTGAAAAATTCGCCTCAAGAGAAGCTTGTGAAAATCGACTGTCCCAGTTTTTTGCCAATAGGGACAAGGGTTTCTATGAGAGAGGCATAATAGAATTACCTTCAAAATGGCAACAAGTTATCGAACAAAACGGTGCATGTGACTTAAATCGGATCATTCTAACTGTGCTAAATAAAGCCTTCAATTTAATGCAAAAATAATTTAATTAAATCTATTTAATAGCCGTACCAGTTTTGACCTTGGTTGGCGTCGTGAAGGTCAGGTCAAGATCACGTCGATTTTTTAAAATGGAAATCTCCATTTTTTATTATATATTCTCTCGTAGCTTACTTCGAGAGTTTTTCAAAACACTATAATAAATTTATTTTTCTTTAAGTACTTTTCAAGTTATGTCTTGAAATTTACAGTACTGACAACATTACCCAATGTGTACGACGCGGAGGTTGCTCAGTCTTATCTCTTTTGTACTTTGCGTGGTTACGTAAGTGCGTGCATATGTATTGTTTTTAAAACTCCTATAAACGCAATGTAATTTCCTTGATGAGCTGCAAATTTTTGTTATTTGCTCTATTATATTCTATTCGAGGCAAGGAGACTCGCGTAAATCAAGCACCCCAAACGTGAAAGGCAAGGGAACTCACGTAAATCGAGTATTCCAAAACGTGAAAGCCCAGCCACGTCCACGTCGTTCATTCTAGGTAATGTTACGCACGGAGAAATGTCGGTGATAGTATAAATTTCTAGTCTTATAACTCGTAAAGTACTTTAAGAAAAATAACTTTATTATAGTGTTTTGAAAAGCTGTCGAGATAAGCTATGAGAATATGCAATAAAAATTGGGATTTTTATTTAACAAAATCGATGTGACCTTGATCTGATCTTGACGATGCCACCCAAGATCAAAACTGATAGGGCTATTAAATAGATCTTCTGAAACCTTACAACTTTTGTCTGAAACATTTTCCTAAAAAATGCTTTTTTTCGAAATATTCGACCATTTCCACAATTTTGGCACACCCTGTATACATATTTACAATCAGAAAACTACAGTCAAAATAGTCAACTTTTCTTGTTAATAACTTTTTAATAAACAAAGACCGCTGCCTTAAACCTATAGAACGTTACTCAGGAGGATATCTATTAGATATGTGAAGGTCAAGATCATCGGCGAGGTGTCCCCTAATTTAGAGTTTTACCGAAAAGAATTATTTTGTTACTAATAATAAGATAAATATGGTCAATCGCGGATATCATTTTTGGATATTTTAATCCTTTTATTTCGAAAATTTGATGTGATAAGGTAATTCTGCAGCCAAATTCAGATTCAGATACGAGAAAAATTGCATGAGAAACGACTTGCTTTCCAAAACGCAGGGCCATGCGCAGCTGTTATTCAAAAAACAAGTAATGGACTGCGTTTTCCTCGTGCGTGCTGATTGGCCAGTGGACTACCGCTCGGTAGAAATCTTTTATCGTTAATATCTCAAAATTTTACGTGGTTGTTTAAAAAAAGATACCGATTCCATTATTCACGCCGACCTATTCTAGCTATATATTAGCTCTGGTACGAATTAGATACCCTACATATATTAGAGTAAAATATTATATTTTATCGACATTTTTTAAATATTTTACATTGTTAATATTTTCACTTATTTCAAATAATTTTATTAAATAAAATAATTTTTAGACTCATCTGCAGTCAGATAACAAAAAACTACATCATCCAAAAGATAAAAATGATGTTGGTTTCGAAGACAATACGTCATATTATTGCGGGATATGTGACAGAGATTTTTCGTCTGAGGACGCTTTGACTGAACATAAAAGTACACACAAACTTTGTGGTATTGACGGATGTACGTTTTCGGCACATCCTCTGCTTGTTGAGAAACATATTAGTATGCAACATAGTACTGGTTTATATGCGAGAATGAAAGATTTGTCAGGAAAGGATGGTATAAAAAGGTGGACAGAAGAACGGAAAAAGTAAGTCTTATATCTTTAATATTGCTTTAATATTAACAATAATTATATTCATATTGAATATTTGTATTTTTTGTGAATATCTATATTTAATATAATATTGAATATATAATATAATATTGAATATATCTGTATTCTTGTGTATGTAGTTTCAACATTTTAGTTAGACAAAAAAAACTAAAACTAAGTTGTTTTTGTTCAAAGAATTCAAAAAAATATTTTTTCATAGGCATTTCTATGAAAAATTTTTAAATTAACCCCCGTTTCACCCACGCAACAGAAGTTGGGAGACCAACCTCCGTTCCAGTTTGAAGGCCCTTCAGATCCATATAATTCAAGACTTAAACCATTAAAATCGATGAAATAGATTCCAAGATATTGAGTTGTTAAATGTTATGTGGGTCACTCTGTATAAAGGAAGAAAGTCAATAAGGCCGTTTTCGTGCCATTTCCATTAAATAATTTTTTTTTATTGTATGATCATTAGAAATGTTAAAAATAATCATTAGATAAAAAAATGCTCGATCTATAAACAATTAATTATTAATCTAGTTATATGGTATCTAAGCCATTTTCATGACTAATAACCCTGGCGGAAAAATTTCAACGAAAAACTACGAAAAGTCTACGAAACACAAAGAATTGCTACCGAAAAATACAAAAAACTATTGAGATTGGAACAAGATCTTAGGATTTCTTACAAGGGGAGCTTTCAGCTAGCGAACCGATTTTGCTGAACTTTTACAGAAATCTAGTACTAGTGTGGTAGTAACAAATGCTATTCGGAGAAGATGTGCCTCTCAAACATTTATGAGATATCGCTATTTGAAGTTTAGTCTTTTCCATTAGTGCTGTCGTAAGAAGAGAGTGATCAAGTAGCTGCGGTAACGCAGCAGACTAAACCTCGCGGTTTGAGTCGGGAGGTTGCGTGTTCGCGTCCTAATGAGTCCATGTTTTTTTTCTGTTATTGCATTTGTTTTAATGTATATCTATCTTTTTGTACACCTTTGCATAAGTAAAACATTACAAATATTTATAACTTATCTCTCTATATCATGTAAATATATCGATATCTACGCACACAAACAGAAATACACACATACATATACGTATGTAGTCGAAAATGAACAAGCTGCAAACGAGCGTGACTCATAAACATCGAAAATCAGCTGTTTATTAGCTGATAAAAACTGATGTTATGAGGTATCACAGTGGAGACATGTATACTTCTCTTTTGTTTTTGCATACAATTGCGACCAATAGTTTTGCTTACATTTGTCATATTAGCACTGATCATTTTTATTTATGCCAAAATTTAAAAACAAAGTCTGATTATACAAAGAATTTGTCTACGTATTTATATATTACACACACGCACACACACACACACACGTACATATTTTTTTCTCTAACAGTAAAAAAAACTTGGACACAACGGGACGTGAACACGCAACCTCCCGATTCGAACCGCGAGGCTTAGTCTGCTGCGCTACCGCAGCTACTTGATCGCCCTCTTGTTACGGCACTAATGGAAAAGACTAAACTTCAAATAGCGATTTCTCATAAATGCTTGAGAGGCGCATCTTCTCCGAATAGTATTTGTTACTACTACACCAGTACTATATTTCTGTAAAAGTTCAGCAAAAATGGTGACTCGCTAGCTGAAAACTTCCTTTATTAGATGTTTTCGTCTAAATTTGTAAGAAATTGCAGCTTGCCGTTAAAAATAACAGTTTGTCGTAAATTAGCATCCCGTAAATTATTGTACTTTTTCGTTGTGTATTCCTAAAAATAAGAACCCAGACAGCATAAAATATTTATATATAAAAATATTTATAAGATATATTTGAATATTATATATATATATATATATATATATATATATATATATA